GTGCTTTTTTCAAGAAAATAAAAAAAACGAAGAATAAAAAATTTTTAAGATTTTCGTATGTTGATATTTTATGGGTATAGCTACGTACTTGTACTGTATATTTTTATTATACTAAGAAAATTTATATTTATAGTTATTTGGCGCAACTTTAGGATCGTAGTTTTCTTTTTAATAAAATTTAATTTCAAAAGTATCATAACTTTATAGAACTTAAATTGGAGTTAATTCGAGTTATATAATATCTCGAATAATAAAAGAGTTTGTTTGTTATAATAGGATTGAATTCTAATATTTTTTGGGAAGCATTTGATTGATGAAATCATAAAATATTTAGGTAAGTATTTCAATTATTATCATTTTTAATCAAATTATAAACACTTAAATTTAAATTACATAAATAGTATGACAAATATATGTTTGGACACAACAACAACATTATATACCGATCGACTTTTGATTATTTTTCAAGATGCTGTCAATTTTGAAAAATTTAGAATACCTACGTTTATATTTTTTAAGTTGCATATTTACCTTATTAAAAGTATTTAATGTTATTAGTGTTATTACTATATTGTATTTTGTTTAAAATTTCTATGTCTAGACAAGATTTAAGAGAAATATGAACTTTTGTCAATATTGGGTTGGAGTATAAATATGTAGATTGTGTATATTCCAACATTAAATAATTTTGTATCAATATATTTTTAAGTAAATGAAGTAAATATAAAATATATATATATATATTTATGAAGTAATATGCATAAAAAATACCCATTAAAGATAAAGAATGAAAATTTAATAAGTTAAAGCATTAAACATTTCCATATCATTAAGTATAAATTAACAAGTTGAAGAAACGTTGATTCATATACCATGAATTCGTTCTTTATACCGCAAATTTATACGATTTAGTGTGATTTATTCGAATTATTATTTTTTATAAATCTTATAAGGCGCCTTACAAAATTGAAAATTTTAAAATAAAATTATATATACAATAAGTTTAAATGAAACTTTTTAGGATATTGTAAATTATTGTTTTGTGGATTTATTAAATTAAATATTAATGAAGTGAAAATGGAAAAAAGTAATGACTTTCTAATTTTCGAATATTTATCTATTGTACACATTAAATTTTATGGTTATTTAAATGAACCTTAAAAAAATTTTGATAAAAATTTTTGGGTTCTTGTTCTATATGAAAAAATGTATTTCATATTTTTTATTTTCAGGATATTTGGACTTAAAGTTAGGTTAATATTTTAAGATGTGAATGTTTTTATATTTTGTAAAAATATTATTTGATAATTTCAATTAATCACGATTTTAAAAGAAAGAAGAACATTCGAATCAGTCCGATGGTTTGTTTGAACAATTGCTTTTAAATACTTGTTTTATAGAGCAATCTTCCACTTAAATTATTTTTTTATTTATATTGTATAAGAAAATAGTGTTCAAATTCGATAGAAAATCAAAAGTTTCGAAAAAATTAGAAATTGAAAATTGGAATTCGGTAATTTTGAGTATTGATAACCTGGGAGAGGAGAGAGGTGACAAAAAGTGTACATTCAATTGACATTAAATAAAAATTTTTGAAATGTTAGGCTCTTACAATTCGCAGTCTTAGAGAAAAACAATGTACAAAATTTTAAAAAACTACAATAATTTTTCATTGTAATGACACCGAATGATTTTTCACAATAGAAGAATTAATTGGTATTCTTTTCAGTGTCTCCAAAAATCACAATTTTTTGCAGTTTAAATAAAATAAGAAGAAAATATCTAGCAGAGATCTATTTGTGAATATAATTTTATTATTCCATAATATTAGTTTTTCGAGAACATTTAACTAAGAATGTAATGGTGAAGTTAATACCGACTTTTTTAATTCTGTTAGAAATTTGTAGCTAAAAAATATATTTAACGTTAGAGAAGTCTACAGAATGTGTAGCGTTATTTGATTGTTACTTTGAAAATTAAAACAAAATTTGGATATAAAATAATATATGTTCACATGATTGTGATTTAAAGCGTTTCCTTCAAGTTTTATTTGGTTCGTCCGTCTGTCTGCCTTTTTGTCAGTTTACAAAAAGCCGAAAGCCGAAATTTTATACACAACTTGGTCTTTACTACTCCCTTTAGAAGTTATAGCTTCTAAAAGTCCAAAAAATGCAATTTTTTGACCATTTATTGTAACGAAACCAGAAATATTTTTTAAATGCTGTGAATGTAAAGTATTGGTGAGCTATATCTACCTATAAATTAATCGTTATCTAAAATCTGTTTCTTTTCAATTTTTAGAACCGCTTTTCTTATGAAATTTTAACACCCTTTAACACTAAATAGTTCATTTCGTTAGAAGAAAATTTTTTTCTACATCCACTCCGTCTCGTCTCAAGCCATCTCTTGGAATTTTTAAACTTTTCTAAACTTCTATAAATGCAGAACACTAACGGAAAATATCATGCTATTAAAAAATATAAATATTTTAACACCAATAACACTAATCTTAACACCAATTTATGTTAATATTTCTTTCACTTTTTTACTCATCCCGCATGTAGACAATAGTTTTATAAACAATTATACCAAGTAAATTGAACACGCTTAATATCACATAGAAAAAAATGTCCAACAATTTGTGATTTTAAGCGAGTTGTGAACTAAATCGATGCAAGGATAAATTCACATTATGTGAAATTAAGCGAGGTTATAAAATATTTTCATGTATGTAGTTACTTCGAAAATAGATATTTTAAACAGATAAAAAAACTGAAAACAATTAAAATTACAAATCGTAATTGACAGCTATTTCAACGGGTGCACTCTAAAATAAATGCATTCATATTTAAAAGTTTTGTAAAATAAAGTTGGGTCAAACCAATGGTTTGTATTGTAGCCCTTTTCCCTTGAACAAGTGAAAATACTGCTTATAAAAACAACCTATGTGTACCTACCACACTATTAAAATTATTTTCATTCACATAAGAAACTTTTTTTAGGATTGCATATTTTTAGGATGAATGATTTATGCAGTCTTTGAAATAAAGAAACATAATTTTCGATTTTAAGGATATCATGGAATTTACCGGTAATTTTTTACTTCGAAAATAAAAGGCGCCAAAAATTCAAATTTTTCAAATTTCAAGAGGCGATAACTTGAGAGGAGTTGGAGATGGAAAAAAATTCTTCTAACAAAATAAACAATTTGTTAGTATCTAAAACCTGCTAAAATTTTAGGCTCGCACAACCTGGGGTCTAGGAGAAAACATCAAATATTTGGAAAAAACGTACTTTAGATAACAATAAATTTTAACGGTAATTTTGTTTTTTTTTAAGTTTAACTATAGTGTGCTGCAATAGGAGAAGCAAGTCGATGCTTTTCAGCGTTTTCCGAATTAGAAAAATGCTTATGGTTTCATTGCAATAAATAGTTGAAAGATGGTATTTTTAGGATTTTTTTCAGATAAAAATTTTCTTCTATATGGAAATAAATTTCTAGTAAAGATCTATCTGAATTTTAACTTTCTTTCTTCATGGGTGTAGAAGTTTTTTAAGCAGACATACGGACGAACGGACAGAAGGACAGAGTGAAACTAATAAGCACTTTTTTTAAAATTTTTTTTGGAAAAGTGCTAAAAAGTTGCCGGCAGATGTCGTTTACAAAAAGATTGACACTTTTGCTTAAAAAAACAAGTAAAAACGTTTCAGTCGGTATAAACCGATTGAATTATACTTTGTACCTTTCATTGTTGTATAGCAATTATTCGAATCCCTGTGAAACCATTCTATAGAAACTTCACGGATATGTCTGACCTATAATTGGACGCACGACTGCCAAGTTTCATGAATCGCACTTTATTATTTTTTCAAATATATAAAATTTGCTTTTCAAGTTGTCGAGTTGTATTCCAGCAACGCAAACCTTCGCAGCTATCCAATTAAAATCCATATATATAATGTAATAAGAAACGTGTGTACTAAATTTCATGTCTATACCTTTATTAGTTTTTGAAATATTTTACATAAACTCTTTGAGTTGTATGGTAGGTATCCGAACACGTTGTCCGAATTAATCCAATTACAATAGGATTTGTCCTCGGCGCAAAAGAAACGACTTGTGAAAGTTTGGTATCGATTGCATTATTCGTTTTTGAGTTATCGTGCAATCGAACGGACGGACGGGCACGGCTAAATTAACGCAGAATTTCACGCTAACCAAGAATATATATACGTATATACATATGTCCATACCGCATATGACTCCCTCAAGTGGTTACAAACTCCGTACCAAAGTTAATATCCTTCATGAAGGTGCAAACTTTTTTTTTGTCAAATTTTAATTTGGTGCAAACAAATTATATGACATTAGACATTTTGTTGTCGAGAATTACTTGGTTTTAAGTGTTTCTGCTGAGCAAGTTCGAATATGTGTAATAAGTATATGGAGATTTTTCTTATTAAATATTTTGTGAAGCGCGTTGTCATATAAAACAGGGTTGACATTAAGTAGCCGTATATGAAATTAATTTAAACAAAGTTGTAGAATGCTTTTACAAGCAGTATTTTCACTTTTTGAAGCCAGAAGTGCTTACTTGCAAACCATTAGCTTGACCCAACTTTATTTTATAATATGTTTGATTTTCTGATTGCTTTATATATTATTTTTATAGTTTCGGTAAAAATAGTGTGTTAATAATTGTAAAGGTCTTTTATAAGAGCAAATAAAAATCAAATGTTTTAACAGAATTTTCGAAAATTCAAGTTACCTGTACCATTTAAGATAAAAATATAATATTAGATGGGTACGAGTATTTACACAATTTTTCTTTTGGTTTGAGCAAACTGAGAAGAATAAATTTGAGTACGGAATTAATTTTTTTAGAAATTTTATATGGATATTCAATAAAAATGAATTTTACATTTAATTTAATTGAATTCAAAAAGTTACAAAAATATTTTTAATAAACAATAGATATTAAAGATAACGCAATACTTACGTTAATAACTGTGTTGTATCCTTATCTATCTTAAATAAATGTCTTGATGTATATTCATTAAAATTTGAAATTGCTTTACTAATATCTTTACTACCATCGATTTGTGCCTGATTTTTACCCCATGTTTCAATATACACAACTGAAACACGGGTATTCAACGTTCGAAAATACTGTAAAAGAAAAAAAAATTAATAAAATATATATACATTTTTCGAAATTAGTATAACATTATTGCACGTTATTATTAATTTTTAGTATAAAATATGTACTTTAAGGATTTTACTTTAACAACATTAACGCAGACAATGTTTAAATATTTACAGCAGGCTTATTTAAAAGTTACTTTGGTTACCTTAGACTTTTAGCGTATAAAATGAGATAGTAATTCATTTTAATTAGATAAACTAATTTTATATTGCGAACGCATATGACAGAATTTAATTAAGACGCATATGACAGGTACGCCCATTTTGCTATATAGGAGGTTGAGGTTAATATTGACATATTTAAAATTTTCAAGGTAAAGCATTTTTCCAAAAAAATGGAAATATAATAAACTGTTTTAGAGGAATATTATAGATTGCCTCGTATCTATATCTAATTATACAAAATTTGTATTTATATCTAATAAAAATTTATTAGCCCTGGTAAAAACTTTTTTGGCAAACATCAACTTTTGGGGTAAAGCAGGTCTCAAGAAAGAAATCTTTACTGTTGTGTACAATACGCTCACTTTGTCATCTGTTCTAGTATTAGTAAAAGAAACAAAATCTCATAAAGCATAGTCGAATTATTAACAAAGAAATAAAAATATTTTTTTAAGACAGGTCGAATTTTGAATTAAGTTAAGTTAATTAATATATAACTTGGTGTGTAGGTATTCAAATTAATAAATCATTCCTTAAACTCTTCCAATATATAATTGTTAAAAATCAGTTTCTTATTTTTAAAAGAGCATTCAAATTCTCAATTTCGTATTTAAAGAACTTTCTTATCAAAACTTATTAAAACTATGAAGACTAAGTAATAATTATAAAGATTTGTTATAGGAAACTGTACATTCGGCTGAATTGTGATTAACATATAGAAACATACAAAGTTGGAAAATAACGCTATGCTTTTGCAAATACATGCATAACATACATTAGATATTATTACATACAATTATGTATACTTTCTTAACATAAAATATAAAATATACATCACATGGTGATGTATAATAGATGGTGTAACTATTTAAAATTTAAAATATGATTTGCTTTAAGAAGTACCCTAGAATGTATCTACCAAGTGGCCGGAAATATTATTGCATGCTCATAAGTATGAGTTTATGAAATAAATATTTTCAGCCAACTTAAATTCATTATACATTTTAATAACATCATTATATGTATATAAAACCTCAAATACAATTAAAGGGAAAACTTACAGAAAAATAAAATGTGTAGGTATACTGCACTGAAACGCAATGTTATTAAAAACAAAACCGGAAGTTATTATACACGTTTCGTATATACATTTTTTTAAATAGAATTTTATATTTTTAACCCACATTTTATTTGTAATAACGAGCATTTTTTTATTTTAAAATAATATGGTAAGCATATAACATGAAGAAAAAATTATTTCTTATATTTGTATTAAAACGTTCATCATAGCTTCTCGTTAGTCTATATGTACATATATATATGTACATCATATACTTATGTATTTGCTGCTGCAGTCTACATCCCTTAATATTAAAACGTTAAGATTCTAAATTGCATTTTATATTTTTTCGTTTTATTTTAAAAATTTTGTGAATTTGTTTTTATAATTTTCATTTTTTTTCCTGCCATTTATAAAGATTTTAACATTTTTGGAAAACGGAAAAAATCCTATACGTATATATGTGGATATACATAGATATATTATTGTGAATGTTCATGTGTATGTGAAATTTTTTCCTGATATTTTTTTCCAAATTATTGCAAAACAATTTAGCATATTTTTAGTTCTAGTGGTTTAAGGGTACTAAGCAATAAAGTTCGTTCTGATAAGAAGAGTTGAGTAATAAATGAAAAGAAAAAAATAAATAGAAAAAAATATTAACATAAAACCACATACAAAGCATATCGTTTTATTTATTTTAAAAAATTAAACTGAATTAGTGAAAAGGTTCTGTGTACTTTGAAACAAAAAAAAATTTAATTAAAAAAACATAAATCATAACTTTTATAATATTGCAAATGTTGAAAATGTAGCGAAAAATTTAAACTTTTGTTTTGTTAAAGTTTCGAAAAATTTTTAAAACTTATAAAATTTTTAAAGTTTTTTTTTTTGAGGTTTACTCGTATTTGTTTTAATCATAACTTTTAGTTGTGAAAAAAATAAAAAAAAAAGATTTGAAATTAAATTTACGCAATTTTTTAAACAAAATAATTTTTTACCATTTCTGGAAACCATCTAAGTAGTTCTGATAAAGTAATTTTTTAGTTGAGGAGCTATTCAGAGTTTAATTCTAGATCTAAAGTAAATTATTTAATATTTTCTTAAAGGAAACACATAAAAGGTTATTATAATAAAATTAAGTAATTGATTTCGAAAGTAAATGATGGAACAAAAAATTTTAGAAATTCAAAATCTGTGTTAAATAGCGAACATTCTTTCTATAAAAGTTCAAATCATTCTGTAGTAGTTGAGAATAATTTGTGTAATTGGAACATAGTTTTGTATGGAAATCTTTTTGAGAAAAACACGTCCTCCTACTCCTATTAACTAACATAAGTTGGAGTAATTGAGAATGTTATAACCTCAGTTAAGATTATTATATACTTTTAAGGAGCATTCAAATCACTGCTTCTGTTAAAGAAGAGTATCTGAAAAAAAAGAATGGTTTCAAAACTAGAGCTTTTCCCTTGAACCAGTGAAAGTAGAATTTTAAAAACAAAAATTTCTTTTTAGTTTATTGTGACTGATTTACTAAAACTATATTATTAGATAATAATTCAGACATTGATTTGTGATTAGAACTAAAATCGGAAGAAATAATAATATTGTAAAGAGGGAATTCAATGGTTAATCAGGTTGATGTAAAACATTTATTGTTAATTTTTTATAAAAAATAGTGTTGCAGAAAATTAGAAAAACATAATATTTCAGAAAAGTAAGGAGATGACAAATTTTAGTTTTGCTAATTAACTTGGAAGAGGCGAGATCCGAAAAATATGTTATGGCGATATGCAGTAAAATGTGATTTGTTAATTTGGTACAAGAAATGAGTTTTCGCGGACTTGAAAAAATGTTTGTGGTATCTTTACAATACTAGAGAAATTACTTTTGCATAAAGCCTTATTTATATAAAATTTCAGTTTTCTCTTAGACTAAAGAAGTATTGTTAACAGAAACATGGACGGACGAATGAACTTGAAACTAAACTATGTTTGTCAATAATGGAAACAACTTAAATTAATGTGGAATAGTTATATTATTGTACTTCCCAAAAACATTTGATTTAAACGTAAGAATTTTAATTCAAATATTAATACCAATAAATTTCTAAAAACAAAATTAAAACAACTTTTTGTTGAAGAGCTATAATATTATTTCTAGTCCTGTTATATGTATTATTGTTGTAATGCTATGCCAATTTTGGCCAGTTTTATTTTAACAATGAAAAATGAATAAACGTTTACAAAGATTACAAAGAAAGAATGAAGTTAAACATTAAAGTATTTGTATGTATAAATAGATGTAAGTAGGGGAAAAGACAAATACTCAAATTATTTGTACTATAGTTAATAATCTTGTGTTTTGTTAATTTTTCATTTAACAAATTAAGACTGAAAGTCCAATGTTATTTTTTACTTTCCACAAAAATGAAAAATTTTACAAAATTTAAGATGGTGAAATATTAAAGTACATTTTTGTCGTATAAATAAATTATTTTAAATAAAGTTTGCATGTTTGAATACTGTTTTATACCTAATGCATTATGTATATGCACGTATACTCTTCAACATTTAACCATCAAGAAATATATTTCTGGTAAGATGTTTTTTCTAAATATATATACATATTGTTATATATGTATATATAATACTAAAATTCTTTAAGATTCATGGAAATTGAGAATTCTTGTATTCCATACTCAACTTTGAAATTGTAATATTAAAACCCTGTAATGCAAAATAATATAACACAAGTTGAAGATAAAGATATTGTATGTTATATAAATATACAAATTTCTATTTTTATACACATACATATTGCATATCTTTTCGCATTAATTATAAAAATTCACTATTATAGCTGTGCACCATCAGGATGTTTATTTAGTATAAAATTTTCGTTTTTTTTTTCTTTCTTAAGGTAAATTCATTATATAGTAGCAGTAGTAGCAGCATCAGTTCGTGTACTATATTTGAACAATTATTGCAGCAACATCCAATTTCAGGTAAAGAAAACGCATTTAGAGAATATTATGAAAAAGAAAAAAAAACAAAAAATTGTGGAAAATGCAGAAGATTAATATTTTTCCTAGCTTAATGTGACGTATTTATATAGAAAATCCAAAGTAAACTAAAAAGTAAGAAATTAAAAGAAGAGAAAATATTTCAGTAACTAAGTATACAGAAAAAAGCGGAACAAATTAAATTAATTGTAATTTCTTGTGAAGCTAAAAGCAGCTTGAACATAAATATAATATATATTATATATATATACGTATGTAAACTTATTCCAAAGTTTATATTATGCTTTGGTGTCGAAAAAATATATGTAATATTTTTTTAGTTTAATTTTAAATATGACATTACTGTTATACTATTTTAAGATTTAATTATGGAAAATATAATCTTAGGTAGATAACTAAATATTTGTCATTTAATTTTTGCTAGATATTTTTATGCTTAAAAATAATGGTTGATGTAATTGACGGATAGAAGAAAATCCATATTTAAGAAAATAAAACAATTATAAATCAAAATGCTGCCTAATAATTGAAAGAAGAAAGGAAATCCATCATGTAAATGAGGGCCATATAATATGTCCATTAAGCAAAACTTAACATTCTACACTTAAAATTTTGGTATCGTGGGCTGGTCCACGATATTGTAGATAACTATGAACCATTTTTTTACGTTCTTGTGTTTACTAGGTAGGTGACGAGCCTACCGTAGTTTTATATTAA